GTTGAGCTTAAGTTCGAAAATCACTTCTTTATATATATATATATATATTATTTTTCTTTATTTTCTACATTATTTCTTCTTCTTTTCCTTTGCACTTTACTTTTTCTACTGTTTCTTTCTTTTAGTTTGTATTGGTTTTTACTATTGCAGTTAGCATTACTAAAATTGTTTTAAAAAGACAAAATCATAAATCATAGATTTATTATTTTCTGTTTCATGCCAAAAGTCTATAAGGGGTTTTCCAGTCAGCAATAAATGTAGATATTTGTTTTTCATCTGATCAAAGAAGTCAATTTAGCTATTTCAGCAAGTTCTACCATCTTACCAATCATACCTTCACTATGGGTAGTGCAGAATCTTTCCATCTTTGTGCATGCAATTATCTTACTGTAGTTATCATATAGAAAAAAGTTTCCCGGCTTTATTCCAACTTTTCCCAAAACAAAAACTTCTGATTTCAGATGCGTATTAAACTTATATTATTTATCTAGAGTAGAACTCCTTAGCACCAGAGTGTGTTAATCATAATATAGAAAATACTAATGCTCTGAAGGTCATTTCGAAAAATCCTTTCTTAGTGAGCACCTAGAAGCCAAGAGGCAAATTTATGGCAAAATACATGGCAAATTTCAAGTTTGTAGGCTTTACGGATCTGGAGATTTCGTGATTATGGCGTGAGTGGTTTTCATTTATATATATATAGATTTATATTCATCTTTACAATCCATTGAATCAGTGTATGCATTTGAATCTAGAATCTCTTACTTTTATACACATCCACCAAACATGATAAAATATTCTTTTTTGTTGTCCCCTTTTTCAACATAAATTTAAAGTGATTTTATACATTCTAAACAATTTCTCTGGTGACATGTACCAATAGTAAATCATTTGATAAAAATTCTCTTTAAGATTATAATATATATTTCAATCCTTTTAGTTACACATTTTCTCATTGTTTTGTCTGTAAATGAAAACATGATTTATGGTTTTGATGGTTCAACAGGACAAATTACAGAGTAAGAGATAACTGTATAATTGTATTGCTGTAAAAATCAATAACACTCATTGATCAAATTTAGTTAATTGTACCAAGTGTCTTTTCATAGATTCTGAGAAGCACAGAAGACAATGATGAGCTATCACACTAAAGGTGAGCTTGTCTTAATTACAATTCTGCAAATTGTTTGCTCCAAAACTGACTGTAAACTCTCAAGTATCAAGAAAATATGCTGGAAACCTGATTGAAAAAACTCAAGAAAAGGTTTTCCAACCAGTTATGTCAGAAACCGATCAGCTTCTTATTCAAAAACAGTTTTAAAGAAAGGATGGATTGCTGTTTTTGAATACCAATTAAGTATTGATTATGATCATTAATATCCCATAACTAAACCAGTCGACCTTAGTTATCCAGAAAAACATTTTGGGTTCAATCTTTCTGTAATGGGCAGTAAGAATAACCTTGAGGAACAGGAGAAAGAACTGCAACCAAGACGATAAGACAATTGTGAAGCAAAAATGTACTTTGAGAAAGCATCTCAGACTTGACCCTTGCTAGTTCTCAAGAAGAAAAAAGGAAGGAGGGGGAAACAGATTCAGACTTGTAAGATTTTGTTATTGTAAAGTTTCCTAGTACAGGATACTTTGAAGGGTTAACATCTTCACATGAGAGTCTTTATCACATTTGCTACCTTATTTACATCGTCAGAAACATTAATAAATTCCTTAAGGAACAGTCATAAAATGAAATTCAATGAACATTACAATAACCTATTGAACTCAAATCAGAAATGAAGATTTTAGTAGCAAATATTTCAAGAGAAGTAAGCACAATATAGACAGAACCTAATAGATTGAAAGTTGGGCATGCTGGCTCATTCATCTGCACAGATTTCCTAAACACAATTCAATTGTGGGAATCCTTGGTGCTCTCTGAACTTGGTTGTTTACTTGCAGGTGTTTTATTACCTAACTACCCTGTTTCCCCCAAAATAAGACATCCCCTGATAATAAGCCCAATTGGGCTTTTGAGCGCATGGCAATAAGGCCAAGCGCTTATTTCAGGGTTCAAAAAAATATAAGACAGGGTCTTATTTTCGGGGAAACACAGTAGGTAAAATCTTCAGTACTACAAAGGAATGGAGTTTGCCCTCTGTTTATATACCCAAATGTTACTATGATGTTACTAGAGAACATCAATTAACAGTTGAAAACACAATGTATTTTCACAATACAGGGACTCTCCTTTCAACTGAGAAACTGTGAGCATCCTAGATCAAGCTAAATCCAAAAATGCTAGGGAATGCTGGGAATCTTGGCACTCAAATATATGAAACATCAACAGACACCTAGAGATAAACAATATTTTCATATCATTCAAAAGAGACAATTAAAAAGATAAAAATAAAAAAGACCAGAACACCGCCTCTCCAGTAATCCAGAGAAGAAGGGATTAACAGCAGCATTAACACCAGACAAACAATTAAGCAATATACAATACCCTAATCAAGGAACTATCAACTCACACAAACAATCAAGCAGTAAATAATAGCTTAGTCATACCAAGCAGAAAACCACACTTCCACTAACAGCATAGCAAACTACTATATATACTACTCCCCTACCCATATAGTCCTCATAGTTCCCCTCATACCCTTCCCAACCCACAGTGCCTCTCATGCACCCCTCACATCTTTTCCAATCCTCTCTTGCATCTTTGTGCACGCTCCCTATGTACCTTCTCCCAACATACTTAGGCACCTCACATCCACACTCACTCACTTCCCCAACTGGCAGCATCCACTTACCTGCTTATGGACCAAGAACTTTCAATTTCCTGTCAACTTCCAGAACAGAACAGAATAGGAAGGGACCTTGGAGGTCTTCTAGTCCTTCCTCTACCTTTTGGATAACAAAGTTGCCAGCTAGTCTCCTAAGGAATCTTTTTGATCTCCCATTTGATGCAAAGTTTGAAAGTCAGTGTTTAAAGTCAGAGTTTCTCCACTGACTTTAGTTGTGGGAAGCCAGCAGGAAGTCACCTCACTTAATGACTATGGGATTCAGTTAATGATAGCAACCATCTGCCAGGGATCTACATTAGCTGAGTTTCCAGAAGCAGACCTTCTCTGCCATGGCACCTGCCTGATAGAACATTCTCTTCCACCAAAGTCAGGTTAGATCCATTCCCATCATCATTCTGGGCATTTCTAGAGATCTATTTATGTCACTGGATCTGACGATACCAGAGAAATAGACACATGTTTAGATGAGTCCCTTGTGGTTGATCTTTTACTCTCTCCATGTGATTTGTATATTTTAATTTTTAATACCATAATATCATATAAATTGAGATAAATAAATAAAATAAGAACCAGGGCTGCAGGGACTGCTAAGCAATGTGGTCAAGCTTTATAACATCAGTTAGCAACAGCAATGCTAATCCCAATTGCTCTCGTAAATCAAGGACTGAATGTATAGCCAAACTCCATACCCCTCCAAAATCCGGAAAGCAAAAGAATGTGACTTCCAGAATACGTAAGTCCACAACAGAAACAATCTATCCTGGAAAAATATTCTTTGCTTTCTATTCATATTTTGATGATAATAGTCTGACCACAACAAAGTTCTCATCATAATTGTAGTTTGCAGGTTATCAAAAAACTGACTAATGTAACTTGGAAGATTACATCACTATTATAGTTCTATTTGCTTATCACAGTTATGTAAGCTATTAAGAAATAAAATACATTTTACCATTTACTCTCATATGAAAATTCCCCTTTCACAATACACAAAATAAAAATACACCCACAAGATTAACTGTAGGGAACTATGACATTTAGACTGTTCATCAGGTTGTAAATAATGATGCAATATGTCTAGGGCCGTGATGGCAAACCTATGGCATGCATGCCACAGGTGGCACGCGGAGCCATATTAGTGGGCATGCCAGCTTAACTCTGGGGCACATGCGCGTGCCGGCCAGCTGATTTTCGGGCCTTCTTACTGGGCCCAGCAGAAGTAGGGAAACAGGCTGTTTCCTGCCTCTGGAGGGCCTGTGTGGGGGGGAGGCCCGTTTTTCTTTCTTACCTGGCTCCAGATCCTCTCTATTTATCTGGGAAGGGCGAAAACAGCCTTTCCCACTCCCTTGGAGGCCCTACGGAGGCTGAAAGGGCCCATTTCCCGACTCCCGGTGGAACAGGAAGTGACATTTTTTGCTGTCCCCAGCCTCCAGAGACTCCTAGAGAGGCTCCCAGAGACTCCTAGAGAGGCTCTGGAGGCTGGGGACAGCAAAAAATGTCACTTCCTGTCCCACCGGGAGTTGAGAAATGGGCCTTTCAGGCCTTTGGAGGGCCTCCGAGAGAGTGAGAAACGCTGTTTTCACCCTTCCCAGATAAATAGATAGGATCTGGAACCAGGTAAGAAAGAAAAACAGGCCAATCAGGCCATCATGTTCCAGGAGCGGGGGTGGGGTGTTGCGCGTGCATGCGCGTGGGCACGTGCGTGCGCGACCCTCCCCTACCCACCCCTCTCCTGGCATGCAATGGCAAAAAAGTTAGCCATCACTGGTCTAGGATATTTAGAAAGCTTTTAGCTCTATCATTCTACCCTTTAAGGGTCTATCTTCTTTAGTATTAAATTCTGCAACAACTAGAATTTCACTTAACTGAAATTATCTTTGAAAGGTAGAATAAGGATTAATGTATGTTGTCATATATATAAATCAGTAGTTCCATAACTTCTTACAGACTGAAGAATAAAAGTTATTGTCACTTTATTCCTCCATAAAAAGAATGGAAACTGCTTATCAATTACTACTGCAGCTCTTTAAATTTAACTATTTAACTAATAATTTGATTAAATACATTAAAGGAAAGGCAGATTACAATTATACACATTCTCAAATATCTTCAACAAAAATATTTTAACAGCAACTATTCTGAGATTATAACTCAGGCAAAATGAAGTGGAACACACATGGAAGCAAATAATATTCCTACCTCATACGATAATGCAAAGTGATCTTGATATCACTTTCAACATCAAAGACATAGTTAGGAGGGAACCAGAGTTTCGTCTCTGGGTGATAGAGTGCAAACAGACTGAAGCAGGTTGGTGTGATTCCTATGAAAAATTAAAAAAAATACAGAGAAATGAGAAACTCTTCAGATATGTCATCAAATCATACTGAGCACAATCCTAGAAGTCACTTCATAATTTTACTGGTTGACACCAAAGGCTTATCTAGTCCAGGATCCAGCTTCTCATAGTAATCAACCAGAAACCCCAAAGCAGGACATAAGCACAGCAGTTCTCTCTCTCTAACTTCCTGGTTATTGACTAGTAGCCACTGATTAATGAACTCATGGGGAATACAACTAAGGAATTTCCTTGATTGGAACTGCCCAAATTGGTGCACAATGGTTCATCTTGTGGAAACAGATGCCATAAACTAAGCTTTGCACTCTTAAAATGCAAATAGAATTAGAATTTTTAACAAATAAAATGTTTGATTTTCTCTATTTGAATTTCCTGCCATTCAGCTGCATTGGATTATCTTGGGTCCTTGCAAGAAAAAGAACTTTTTTAATATCATATTTTAGATAGATAGATAGATAGATAGATAGATAGATAGATAGACAGACAGACAGACAGACAGACAGACAGATTGTGTGTATGTGTGTATGTATATGTGTGTGTGAAGGCTACTCTAATAACCAAATCTTTATAAAACAAATTTATGAGCATTATATACTTGTTAAAAGAGAAGACAGACTCAAAGCTTCATATAGCTTGCTGGGAAATTTGAATGTGCATTAACTACAAGAAAAAACAAACAATCTCTTTAGGCCATACTTTTCTAAATTATAAATTGAAAGGATATTTATCAAAAGAATAGGGGCTACACATGTCTACCACAAACAGAGGTTTAGACAAGCCAAAACCTAGTGTTTCTTACCTATCTTCTGCGCAATATCACTGCAGATCTCTTCAGCACAAGGAGTCCCCTTGGTGTATGTCTGGTATTGTTCCTCTGCCTCACCCTTCCAGTGCAAGAATACCCTCAGACCTCCAGCAGGTGAAAAATGGCACCTCTCCATACCTGATTCACTATGTTTTATTGCAGAGTGGCAGAGAGGCATCATGCTAATGTTCAATCCTTAGTTGAAGAAATCATAAAAACATCATTTAGAAAATTTGAAACATTTGCAAGAGCAAATAATTATAAGGAAACCATATCTATTACAGATCACAATTATTCTCAAAATATTAAATGAGCCACTACAGTACCTGGTTATCAAAAAAAAAAAAATAGCCTATTTCATTTATCTTAGAGAGGAACTCAAGTCCAAGGTCAATACATTTGGGTGGATTACACTTTGATAGCCAGCATGGTAAGTCTTATACATTTCCTTCACAAAAAAACCCACCATTTTTTTCTTTTTGCACACAGAACAGGAAGTTACAGAGAAAAAATGGATGGAGTAAATACACTGCTCAAAAAAATAAAGGGAACACAAGCAGAAGACATCCGAGATCTGAATGAATGAAATAGCCTTATTAAATACTTTGTTCGTTACATACAGTAGTTTTGTGTTCCCTTTAGTTATTTGAGCAGTGTATAAACTACTGTATGTAAAGAACAAAGTATTTAATAAGGCTATTCCATTCATTCAGATCTCGGATGTCTTCTGCTTGTGTTCCCTTTATTTTTTTGAGCAGTATATTTATCTCCTCTCTAAAAAAAATAGGCACATTGCTATCTCAAGATACAAGATGGTATAATTCTAAAAAAATGTCTTATTCTTGTACGGCTGATAGAACTTTTAGAAATACTATTTCTAATTGAAATTTATCAGGTATTATTCCTTGGATGTTACCAGAATGAAATAACTTTTTACTAGTGGCAACCAGATACTATTTTCTAGACTCTTACTTAAAAATTCAGAAGAATCATGCAGATAAACTTAGCCATGTAATCAAAATTAATCTTTACCAAATAATAGCACTATAGCTTCCAGATTTAGTATTTTTCAGCTGAAATCCTAAAAGTGAACAGAATCATAGATTCTGGATTCTTACTTTCCTAGAAAAAAGATATTTCAGAAAACAGCATAAACAATAATCAATACGATATTAGCTCAAGCAGCATGATACTTACACTTAATAAAAACAATTATTATTGCTTCATTAATACTGGGAAGAACAGAATTCTACCCATACACTCAGCTGTTTCTTTCTGTTTCTGCCTCCCAATCAAACAAAACCCCGATTGGTTGTAAAACTATAAAAACAACCAAAATTAAAAATCACAGTAATCCGAGTCCAGGACACTCACAAACACATAAACTAAGCATGAAATGAACTCATTCATACTATTAGAGCCCCAAGCTTGATAGCAAAATCAGGTTTTTGGCACCTAGAGCAAGGGTGTCAAACTGGCGGCCAATGGGCCAGATGCGTCACGTACAGGCCATGCCCACCCCAGCTCCATGAAAAAGACAGTGATACATCATGTGATAGCAACATGATGCAGCACGTTTGACACCCATGGCCTAAAATATCTACCAGCACTATCTGGGCAAGTCTGATTCCAGGGGGGTTGAAGGACAGGTACCATGGCAGAAAAGATTATCCTCTTGTGTCCGAACAGGTGACTCTCTCTTGTGAATGTGACCCAGAGCATTCGTCTCATGCTCACTGAACAGGAGCTGTGAGTCTAGGAAGACCACCCCCCAACTGTGTACAAGATCTGTCTGTGGCTACAGTGTAATCCCATCCAGAACAAGTGATGGAAGGTTCCAGAATCAGGAGGCTCTAAAACCCAAAGCCACTCAGTGTTATTAGGGTTGAGCCAAAGTCTATTGTTTCCCATCCAGATCCTCCCATTCTCCAGACACCAAGACATGACCTCCACAGCACCACAGCATGGCCCAAGTGAAGATGCATAACTGGATATCATCTGCATACAGATTGCATGCTTGATCACATAGCATCTTCTAAAACTAGAGTAACTGTTGCACCTACCCAGCAAACTAAAATAATTAACTGATTGATTCCATCAAGCTGAGTTTAAGAAGATCATAATATAGTTTGGTATAAACACAAATCTCACCAATCCTTCTGTATACAGCTATTAAGATTTTTCTGGCTTTCCTGATTTGGGATTAAGTACTGATTTAATATAACACTTTCTGTCCTTCTTGATCCAAGCTATATAAGTGTATCTATGCTGAATTAACAATTATGGTCTATATTTCTCTTCCTTAAAAATATAAGCACTCTACCCACTGTTTTGTGCAAGCTCCAGAGAAGCCTGCTGGCTAAGCATATAATAAGAAAGAACAGAAATGTTAGCTAATGCATTAGCATAAATAAGGAATAAGCCTATTCTTCATTTTATGTAAATAATTTTTGTGAATATATTTAACTGTATAAAACTTATTTTTAAAGTTTGAACATGTTTTATCACCTCTATGCCCTATCCTTCTGGCATTCCTAATCTGAGGCAGGATACTAGCCAAGGAGGAAGTCCAGGTGTCCCTCATTAAAATTTAGTCTTTCAATGAACTCACTATTTTGTCTGCAATACAGAGATAGTACTGTTTGTAAAGTGTTGTATATTTGTAAAGCATACCTCTGTAAAATAATTTACAATGTTGTTACACTGTCATTTGACTAAATGTACTTCTGATTCAAGTCTATATATTTTATGATCTCTAGAAAAACTTTTGTTTTTTTCTGCTTGCTCATAAGAACTGCTTCAGTGAATCAATCCAAAGACTCATCTGAGAAAACAATTCAAATAGTAGGCAGAAATATCTCTCTGCAAATAGGTTTTTTTAAAGGCTACTTAATCTATAGTCATTGACAAGATACCCATCACAAATTTAACCTTGATTACTTTTTGAAATGTAAACATTAACACTAAAAGTAAAATATAAGAAGTTATTCAAATTCATAGTCATCATCTTGGAAGTCTATGTGGTTTTTAAAAGTAAACACTGACTATCTAAAATACAAGTGGTAAGACTTGTTCTATGTTTACTCGTTGTGTATATTGTATTGTCATATCTCTGTTTGTTTTTCTGTTTAATTAAAATAAAATAAAATTTTAAAAAAGAAAGAAGGTACCCTAGGGGGTACCAACTATCTTATTCTGTGTAAAAAAAAAAAAAAGTAAACACTGACTGAGTGGCAATATCATCTAATTGTAAATTATATTTCTGCGTAATTAAAAAAATAAACTTAAAACTGTCAAACATTTAGACATTTAAAGAACGGCTGGTTTCTTCGCCATCCCATGCTTTGTGGCACGGCAATATTTTCGTTACAGATAAACACACCGCCTTCAGCGATTTCACGGTTCTGAACTCCCTCAACAGCCCCATTTTACGAGTTAGAAGGAACATGCCCTCCATACCATACACAGACCCAGGCTCCGTATCAGCACATGACAGCTGGCAGAAACTTGACAGACCTTCTCCCTCATCCTCCCCCGTCTGTTCCTCAGGCATTTGGTTCAAACCCCCATTTTCTAAAGTCATTTCAGTCGTAGCCTCTCTCGTCATTCCGGACTTCTCGCACCCTCGGCGCGCCATTTCCTCCAGAGCCATCCGTCAGCTCCTCTATTCTCCCGGCCCCACCACTAGGTCCGCGCAGCCTCCGCGTGCCAAGTCCCCCGGCCCAACCGCTACCTACCTCAGAGGCAGGAGGAGGAGGAGGTGGAGAAGCCCGCCGCCACTTCCAATACACCAAAGAGAAGCAGCTCCAGCCCCTTCCCTCCCTCCCTCCCTCCCTGTCTGCCTGCCTGCCTGCCTGCCTGCGTGCCTGGCTTGCGAAACCAAGACAAACCTTATTATTGGCTTCATGAGACAACTTCCCTCATTGGTTCGCCTTCTGCCCCACTCCCTCCTTCCCCCTATCAAGCTGCGCCGTCAAGTTAAACTCGGCCCACCTTGGAGGCTCGTGATTGGAAGCTTTAAAGACGATTGGCTTCCCAAGTGCGCGAAGGAGTCTGGATTTAGCCCCGCGTGCTTCTGTCGCTACCCGCCCCTGCTAGCTGGAAGGTCGCAACGCCTGAGCGCGTCCGCTGCTGAGTTTCTGCGTGGCTGAAAGGAATTGCAGTCTGAAGGCCCGGCCGAGCTACATTCGAGAACCACGCGAGTGATCCAAAAGAAGCCTCAGGTTAGTTTCAGTGTTTGTGGCATACCAGCTCCGAAATGGCCAGACTAGCGTGCATTCACGTACCTCCAATCCCTTCCTTGCTGCAATCTGGCTTTTGCAGTAAGCAAGGGGGTTGCAGTCTCAAAAAACCCGAGTCCCGCCCTTTCTGGATTTTCGAACCTTCCTGGATGGGAAGGATCCGCATTCTGCATCAAGTAAACTTTAAAGAAAGTTAAATAGTCTGGCAGCGAAAATGCTTCCCGTACATGAGAGTGGGGATTTCCTCCCCTCCCTCCCCCCTTCCTGGATTTTGCTGCCACACTGTTTAATTTTCTTTAAAGTTCACTTGATGTAGAATGGGAAGGATCCACATACTGATACTGATGTGGTTTATACATATTGTTTGAATCATGATATTTTTTTCTACTTGAGCAATGCCAGCTCATTTTTGTAATATTTTTGTCTTGTCCCAGTTGGCTTAACTTTTACATACTTTTCTTTTGATTCTAATGATTGCCTACTCTTTATTCTCTTAATTACCTCTGGTGATTGTAGTAATGTTATAAAACTTTGCATTCTTTATTACATGTCCTTGCTTGTGTGGGAAGAAATATCCATTGGTTCAGTTCCAAGGAAGGCACTGGAGACAAAATGGATTGGAAAAATTTAATGTTGAAACAGAAACATATGGAGTTGGGGGTGGGGGGATTATACCTTCTCTTGGGCTTTGCACTTGAGCTTCCTGAAGTTTCTGAGGGTAATGCAATGAAGGGGCTTGTGTTGGGCAATTCCTACTGTGTTCAGACCTTGAGGCTGGGAGTAATGGATTACCAAATCTGCATTTCTAAAGGCTGGCCTCAGTTTACTTGGGGGCAGGCAACTGAGGCTCTGAGTTTCTGTCTTTATAAACACTTTAGCTTCTCCTTTAGGGAAATATAATATTCTGACTTTTTAAAGAATCTCTCAAAATACTTCATTCTTCTAGGAGGGGTGGGTGCTAACTTTCTACATGGCTTAATGGCTTTGCCCTGTATTGGATCATGAGTGAGGGCTAATCCTACCATTCTGCCTTTGTTTCAAAATATCCTGTCTTGAATGGATGACCAAATCTGCCTTTCTAAAAGGTGGCCGCCTCAGTTTCTGAATAGGCTGGCCCAATCTTTCTTAATGGGCACAAAATATCTGCTGTGGCTATTAAGAAAGTGGGGTTTGCTTTCTGCATGTTTCTCCATTTCTTCCTTTGGGAAATATAATATTCTGCCCTTTCCTTCCTTAATTTTCTTTAATATTCCTTAAAGTATTTCATTCTTCTAGGAGGGGGGTGGCTTTCCACACTTGGTTATTGATGCACACACTTTTCAATAGGTTTTTGTACAGTATCTCATAATCTTCGATAAAGGGTATTAATGTCCATAAATAAATATATTAAAATAAAACATTTTATTTATTTTATTTTTTTTGCAGAAGCAACCCTTAAAAGGATGAAAAGGCAACAGAGTTTGACAGATGTTTTCAATAAGAAACCAAAATTTGTATCAGAATTGGCCTTGGATGCTACAAAACAGTCACAACCACAACCACTCCAATTTGAAGAAAGCAGCAAGATGGATGAAAACTATTTACGTACTACTTGTAGAGTATTTAAGAGAGTTTACAACCTGGCAAAAAGATGTAGACCATTTTCAGACATAGAAGGTGTGATAGAATTGCTAATTGCAAATGGAGTAGATATGGGAATAGGATTGCATTCATATAGAACTGCAGTGAAAATAGCTGATTTCATTGGAAAAGAAATTAAAACTGAAATGTTTACTAGCATTATTGAACATAATCTGAAAATATGTTTGCTTATTGATGAAGACTCAACAATAGCTCGTAAACCAGTTGTGATAGTTTTTCTAAAAGTTGAGGATTCTAAGGAGCCACCAACAATTTTTGTCGAGCTTGTTGAATTGGAAAAACAAGATTCAGAGACAATATATACTTCAGTTATGGAAAGCTTAAATAATGTTGGGTTTACTAAGAACTACCTAGAAAAAAATTTAATAGGATTTTGCTCCGATGGTGCCAGCGCTCTGCTCGGGAGAAAATCTGGAGTGAGCACTAGGATAGCAGAAGAGTTTCCAAACATCATCATTTGGCACTGTTTAAACCATCACCTCCATCTTGTTTTAGATGATTCGATAAAGGAAATAAAGGAAGTAAATCATTTTAAAATATTTATTGATAAGATAAATACTCTCTTTAAACTATCCTGTAAGTTCCAACTTGAACTTAGCAAAATATCTGAAGAACTTGAACTTGAAATTATAAATATTGGTGCAGTTTTGGGACGAAGATGGGCTGCCTGTAGTTTAAGGTCAGCCCTAGCTGTGTGGCACGCTTATCCAGCGCTACATCATTATTTTTATTCAAATGAAAACTTTGGTATGGCTGCCCGTCTTGAAAATATATATTTTATAACTGATTTGGCATTGATGATTGATATTTTAAATGAAATTTCTCTTCTTTCAAATGCACTGCAAGCAAGAAATATAGACATAATAAAGGCTGACAAACTCGTGCTAAGACCTATTAAAGCATTTCAAATGCTTGGAAAGGCAAAGGGTCCATATGAAAAAAAAGTTGATGTAATAATTAGTTCAGAAACCTTCAAAAGTATAAAATTTGTAGAAAATAATCGATTTGTCGGGCTTCCTCGGGAAAGACTTTTAGATACCATCGTAACGAATTTGCAGAAAAAATTAATGGATTGTGGACATTTAAAAGCAAGTTGTAGCCAATTTCAAGATAGGAATAAATTACAGTTTCTCAATTTTTTGGAGCCAGATTACTGGAATATTGAAGAAGTACTAGTTCCATGGAAAGCTGCTGAAGAACAATTACTCGTATTTAATGACATTTTTCATTACCAAATTGATATTAATGATTATCGAGATTTTGTGGGAAACGTTTTACGAAATTCCCAGAACTATGCAATTCCTGAAAGTGTTCGAAGAGCTAAAATATTGTCAGAACAATTGCTTTAAGTTCAGCACATGTGGAAAAGGTTTTTTCAAAGATGAACATAATATATTCAGTGGAAACACGTTACCTAACTCTCTCTAATATATCAAACACTCTAACCATTAGTGTAATCGGCCTACCTCTAGAGAACTGGGATCCTGTTCCTACAGTGAAAAAATGGCTAAGGATAAATCAGACAGATGATGATGCTCTGACAAAAGTGAAGGAAATTGCAAGTGAGGGCGACAATCAAGAAACGATATACAAATATCTTACATAACAGTTTCATTGTTTTTTGCCAGGTATTTAATGATTTTTCATTCATATTTTAAAACTCATAACTTAATCTAGTTTCATGGACCTCTTTTATTGTTTAAGTGTTAAATGCATGAGATAATAAACTACCTTTGGGTATATCTTTTTTTATATTTAAAACAGTCTTTAAGGCAGAGAACTAATTGTTAAATTATATATACAGTATACCCTCTATAATTATCACTGTTCATGATTGTGTTTTAATGCATTACCTAAAACGTAAATTTACAATCTTTAGAATCAATTTGTCTTGCAAATAGTATCCAGACAGCATCAGCTGATGTTTAGAATATGCTACCCTTACTGAAAATAGCTCAGGAATGGGGAATGGAGTTGAGCCCTCCACTTTTCATTCCAGTGTTGGTTGTCAAATTCTTTGAATGGTCTGGTCAGAGAACCCAATACCAAAATCAATATATAGGAGGAGGATGGGATAGAATTGGCTCACTGGATGAAACCCAAGTAATCAGATATTTTTAGGATGAACTGGAATCTGTCCACCAAATGAAATCTGATGTACCCAATCCTAAGCAGCACACTATTTAGGCTTAAGGTAACCCCATGTCTCAATATCAAAGGAGAAGTGCTGTCCACAGAAATCTTAACAACCTGAAGGCAGTGTAACCATAACCTTGATCCTCTTCTCCGTGCAGTTAATAATAGAAATTTTACCTGTGCAATGGGTTAGGGTTAGGTTTCAGAGTTGCTTATCCGTGAACAATATAGATGCTTGAATAGGAGCACAGATGCAATAAGAAACACCAGCATAAAGATAAGCAGAATTTTGTTCTATTTATACTTTGGCAGTCATTAAGATTGAAACAAGACTAGGAACATTGTTATGAGATGGGCAACCAGTAAACAAACAAACATTGCCTTGCATAAGTCCTTAAACAAAGCTGCCTTCAGATTAGGTCAAATTGAAAATCTTGCCAACTATTAGTAACAGTTTATGTGGCAATTTAGTATTCACAACCCTTCCTATGCATTTGTTTAATAATCCTTGCAAACAGTCCTTCAAAGAAAAAAAACATTGCAGATGAAAGAGATCTGAGGGCAATGTTTAACAGTTGGCTTAAAACCACTCCTGAAAATGAAAGCTAGGGTAAGAAGAAACTTGATATATTTTTATTCATGTAGTAGCTACTTACTATCTGAGCTCAGATTTATTTATTTATCAACTCCATTATATTTATAGGTAATTCAATACTTATTCAATACAATACAATACTCCTTTCTTCTCCTATTTTCCACACAGGACAAGGTGCCAGACACAAGTCCTCTCCAGAGCAGGCCTGCCAGACCACTGTATTCCTAAACAGCTGTATGGTGAGCTGTCTCAAGGAAAGCCTCTTTGAAGTCCCTGGATATCAACACCACGTCCGGGGAAACCCTGGCACAAGATCATTAGACATGATGCACGTTGATCCACCAAGGCTGCCAGACATTTGAAGACAGAACAACCATAGCACAAGAGAAGCCAGAGCTGCAAATGCTGCTACAATGGTGCCGACACATGTCTGTCTGACATTTGGCAGAACATTCCGTATAGGCCTTACCAGCCACCTGCAGAAAACACCGTGGTCAGGATTTGTAGACATTGTATTTACTTAGTTACCAGTTTAGTTAGTTACTTAGTACTACTACTTATCTAAAGTTTTTAGATTAAGTTTAGTGATGTACATTCTTATTTCTGCCTTCTCTGTTATTCTGTCTGTCTTTTGGAATAAATTTAGATTATTACAAAGAGCTTTTGTGATTGTGACATAAGAGATGCTGCTTTTGCATCATACAATTCATGTGGGTGTAAAGAGAACATGCAAAGTCAATAGAGGGCATTTGTGTGGGAAACTATAAAAACACTGGGAACAGATTCAAGAGCACAAGATCTTAGTTGAGATGACTCCAAGCCAAAAATGCCTGAAAACAAAGCAAACAAACTTGGAAAAGGATTATGGCTCCACATAGGCACTCAAAAAGATGGGGTCGCATAGTTAGATAGTGAGAAACTTCCAGAGGCAGACATTAATCCTTGATATAAATTATAAAAATTTCAAAGGAGGCACTGGTTTTAACATACATAGCCTCAAACTATTCCATTCCGTAAGCAGCATAATGCAGACCATAGAAAAGTAGTATGAAATAGTAGGCTGAAAAAATTAAAGGCATGAGATAGGAGAAAGGAAACAAAGCCAAAGCTAAAACTACGTTAACACTACCCATTGTGTCTGCGAACCATCCATGCTTATACAATCTTTCATAGGTTGCCTTTTAAATCACCTTGTTTCACAAGAGAGTACCATCCAATCAACTTTCCCAGTTTTAATATTCACTCTTCCTATTTTTGTTTTTTGTAATTTATCCTCATCTATTCCCAGTGCCATTCTTTTTCATAGTTTATATCTTTATTTAAATTTCATAGTTTTAAGAGTCACTGAATTAAATCCAAACATTTAGCAGCTGTTTCTCATAGACATTCTAGTAATTTCAGTCTGCTTAATAATCTTTGTAATATACAAAATCAGTTTCTGTGCTTTAAGTAGAATAACTCTGCTCTTGCAATGTCTATAAGTGGTTGCCCTTGAAAACCACTTAGAAGCTTCCACTGATTCAGAAAGTGGCATGGGCAGTAGTGGGCATGACTCCTGCTCTGTAAGGTGCACTGACTACCAGTTTGTTTGTAGGTGTGATTCAGTGCTAGTTATAAACCACAAGCCCTCCATGGCATAGGGCCTAGCTGTCTGAGTGATCAGTTATCTCTTGGGGTGTCTGCTGAGCCAGTATGGGCCCACAGGATTGGACTGCTGGATACCTTCCGTTAAATCCTATGTTTTGGAATTGGTGAAATGTGCCTCTTCAGTTGTAACACCTGCCCTGTGGAATAAATTTCTCCCTGAAATCCCATCTGATTGCATTCTGGAAGGCTTAAAAACCTGGTGGTTCTCCCAGACCTTGAATTGTAACGTTTGTAGGCAAATTGTGTTTGCCTATGTTTTAAGTTGCTCATTGGATTTAGCATCTTCCTTTTATTTTTCTTCATTATTAATATAAGTAATAGTAGCAAAAATCCTGATTGCCTGACTACGTTTACCCCTCCATCTTCTGATATAATGAATATAATGAATTTGAGTGATGTCCTAAAAATACATTTTCTTTTCATTTCAGCCATAATATAGTTCTGCAGAGGGTTTTTTCCCTTTCCTCCAAGGCCTGTCCCAGTCAAGCCCTACTCTGGGATACTTCAGTGCTCTGCCCATTTCCTCCCCTCCCCCCAATTTTAATATCTACATGAAGCCATTGGGGGAGGTCATCTGTCAGTTTGGGATCAGGTATTATCAATATGCCGGATGATGTCCAGCTCATGGACACTCACACTTTAGTCAGCTCCTAATTTGACTATTGCAACATATGTTATATGGTGATGTCCTCTGAAGCTTCAATTGATCTGGGTAACTATGCGCCCATCATGTTATGCCCATGTAACACTCCAGCTCCATTAACTGCACTGGCTACTGATTCAAAGTGCTGGTGATTACCTTTAAAACTGCTTGAGCAGGGAGTTGAACTAGAACAGGGATGTCAAACTTAGATTTGGCCTGTGGGAGTGCTTAAATCTGCCCCGCAAGGTTGGTCTTGAAATATCAAAGGACCGCCCACAGTGCATTGGCCAGGGCGAACAGGTGGGGGAGGGCCAGCTGAGGAGAAAATCTGGAGATAAATGGGCAGAGCTGGAAGCCTGGAGGAGAAGCAGGCATGGCTAAGGATATGTGCCTGGTGGCAGACAGAAGCCTCTGTGCTTCTGGCTGGATCAGGAGCTGGGGGCTTTGGGGAAGGTGCTGCAGCCAAATTGTCTGAGGCGTTTGTTAGGAGAAGGAAGGGGAGTTGGTGGAAGGCTGCAAGAAGCTCAAGGGAAGGGACAGAAAAGGAGAGATAGAGACAGAAAGAGAGAGAAGGGAGAAAAGGGGAGAGAAAGAAATGAGACAAAGATGGAAGAGAGAGAAAAAGGAAGAAAAGAAAAAAGAGGGAAGTGAAGTGAAAGTGAATGAGATATGGATGAAGGGAGAGAGAAAATGGAGAGGAAGGATGGACCACAAACCCTGGCGCTAGATGTCGCTTCAGACAATGCTTTGAAACAGCACAGGAATCCAGGGCTCAAAGAGACCTCAAAAGCCTTCTAGTCGAACCCCCCCCCCCCAGCAGATCCTTACAGAATAATTGAATAGTAGGGTTAGAAGGGGCCTTCTAGTTTATCTAGTTTGGCTGAACTTGCGAGAAAGTTTTTTCTACATGTCTCCCTGGACAGAAAGGCGAGGAAGACGATGGTGCTGGAAAGGTAAGATGCTTGTCTCATAGCCCAACGCATCCCACCCCAATGGCAACAACAGCCTGGCTGCTTCCCTTCCCCACTGTCTCTTTATTGAGGGGGGTGGCAGGTGGGGCGGGGGAGAAGCGAGACGCTTCTCGCCCGCCCCACCTGCCACTCCCAAATTGCACCCTAAAGGGGTGGGGTGGGAGGCTAAGTGAGGGGCAGGAGCCCTGTCATGCCCAGCAGGGGGAGTGTGGCGCGTAGTTGGTGGGGGGGCTTATTTTGCGGGGGTGGCTTATATTATCACATATCCTGAAAAGCCTGATTGGCCTTATTTTCAGGACATGTCTTATTTTCGGGGAAACACGGTAGATATATATATATTCTCTAACTATCTATATTAGATATATAATATATATCTAGTTTGAATAACAATAGTTTACTAGTTAACAAATTCAATCAAGGAAGATCCAGTTTCAAGTCTTCAGTGATCAAAGACCTGACTGCTTGACATTGACTGGTTGACAATCACTGAGCACACTACACAGCAGTCTTATTATTACAATTCACTGTGGGGTGCCAGAGGGAGAGCCGGGCAGGCGAACAAATGGACAAAGTGCTGAGTGGTCAGAGGCTTTCTAATTTAACATCCCCTACTGCTGCTGCGCCAAGCACTGGGCTATTCGGAATTCAGCTGTTTTGATGGTTGGGGAGGCAACAGCCAGAGGTGTCCCATTTTCAAACCCACCGCAGGCCATATGTCGGTGGTGGTAGGTGGGCCATTCAGTAGTGGTGGGAGTGGCAGGGAGGCAGCAGTGGCTGTGTAGGTCCCATTTTCACACCTTCCGCTGCACCAAGCTTCCAGAGCTGTCGCCTGCCTGCCCAGCTCTCCTTCCGGTCACCTGTGGCGAGTTGTCCCCAGAGCAACTTGGCCACGTGGCATTATCCAGTGGCGACTTGGTGGTGGTGAGTTGGCAGAGGCGACATTGTGGTGATGAGCTGGTGGTGGCGAGCTGGCTATGCTGAGTTGTCCCATTCCATTAGTAAAATGCTAACAAAAATTTTTCATCTTTAGGTTTCAAGAAGACATATTTTGCAAAGCTGTCATGTAAATCTCAGATGCTAATGATTATATCTTGGATGTTACACACCACTCCCATTCACAGTCTTTTCAAACAACTTGAATTGGAACTAAACCAAATGAATAATTTGAATCCATGACAGATAAAATACAATAGCCACTCACACCATATCAATCTCAGCTATTTCAACCTTTTTATTTGCTCAATAGCTTTCACTGGTTGTCAAACAAAAAGATAGATATTAATAGCACACTTGTAACTAGGACACTGACTTATGTCATCAAAGCAAGACAGAAGGTGGAACTGCTATGCCAAGCCACTCTGAGCCTGCATTATGGTACGTGGACTCCCCTGAAATCTTGGCTTCCGATAAGATAACAAAGCTGTACAAGTTGGGAACTGTGTTCACAGGGTGAGCAAGCGATCCAGTCAAGAAGCAGCTCATACAATTTTGTAAATTGTCTAAATGTGTAGAGTACATCATCATTGAACAGACTGATGTGAAAGAATAGGCAGAAGATAATGGGGCGATCTGCTTTACAGACATATGGCCAAGGCTTTAGGGATTTCCTTTTTCTTCCTCAGAATTCTCCTTCTTAACTTCCTCATAGACACCTTCTAACTTGTCACCCTTTTCCACTCCTTCTGCTGATTGAGCATTTGGTACCCATAGGCCAGAATCAATACACCGCTGCATGTGGTATTTTGCTTCCTGTAAAAGATACAAAATATATACTGCTGAAGGGCTATATACTACAAATTAGATATCTTCACAACTCGAATTAACTCATAGGGGGCTCCTTTTGCTTCCAAAAAATACTGTAGAATCTAACATTTAGAAAAATGCTTGGTCTCGACACAGAGCTATGGAAAATTCAAAATCAATAAATTGTGTACTGATGAACAAAAACCTGGAGCCAGTGTCAATATCCCATCTACCCAAGTAGAAGAATACCTGAATTGAGGTTGCCGTCTGCCAAAGAAAGCTTAACCAGAATAAAAACTACTGCTTACATTACTGGGATCCATTAAATATAGCATTTATTTGCAGAGATACATATCATAAATTGAGAAGAGAGAAGATAATCAAGGCTTTTCAAATTTACAAGGCACCAGGAAAGTTATATAATGATGATTACATTGTGCCTAATTATCTTCAAGCAACAGGAGAGTGCACATAGATATGCAAATATATAAGAAGAGAAACTAATATTTCTTGGAAGTTATCTGGAAATAATATTTTGCAGCATGGAGGAAATCTGAAACCTAATTCTTAAAGAAGTTCCAGGGATACTCACAGTAGGATCCATTTTGCTGATAGAATCCTGAAGCATCTGCACATCTTTCACATCAAAACATTT